TCTTATTCCTTTCCTGCTTCTCACCCCCTGGGCACACTGCTATCCTTTCTAAAGGATATGATGCTCCTACACCCCTTCATCTAATCCACCATGACTATCCAGGCAAGATCCTGGAAAGGTTTCCCAATTAACTGTAGCAACAAAACCCCATTCAAATGTCTGAACTGCCTATTCTCCTCCCAGATAGTCTTCAGATGTGGCTGTGAATCACAGGAGCGCAAGTAGCAAGCATAGGAAGGCCAGGTGGCCTCCTGAACAGGACTCAGAAACCTTGGTTCTAACACTGACCTGCCACATGACCTTGTGCAAGTCACTGTGGTATTTTTTCCTCGTCCTTATTTTTTTCCTGCCTTGTCTATTTAGGTCATAAGCTCCTCTAGGCAGGGACCATCTCTGTGCCTAGCATAACAGGGGTCCTGATGTAGCGCCTAGATACTGTGAATCTAAGTTCTTTTAATTGGAAACCAGCTCAGGTCAGCCTGAACAATAGCACTGTGGCAACGTCCAGACTAGAATAAGACATCCCAATCACATAGCTCCTCCACTCACCAAGCCAAAGGACCTCAGCTGGACCTCAAGATCTGTACTCGTCAGGGATACGACTAGGACATGGGCCGTCATGCCTAATGGTTGGAGCCATGGGGACGGCCAGGCCTGGAGGTTAGAGAGGAGCCGAGCTGGAGTCCAGAATCAAGGCAATGAGACACCCAGGGGAGCAGAGTCAAGGTGTATGGGCCAGGGATCAATGTCAGAGCCAAGGGGTGAGTCGGAGACGTGGTCAGGTCAGAGCCAAGGCCGTCAAGGATGGAGAAAGGCAAGGGCTGAAAAGGGGACAACAGCAGGCATGGGGAACGGGACCAAGCACAGCTGTGGACATGGAACAGGTGGAGCTGCTGGCCAGGTATGGCAGCGGCTGGATCAAGTAGTAAGCTAGCTCCATCCCTCCACCAGTCAGGAAATGCAATCACTCAGGAAGCCCCTGCCAACATTGGCTGTGTCCAGTGTTTTTGCTAGGAGACTGACCCTGCGGCCGCTGGCTCCCTGGCAGGACTATACGCACCAAATCAATCCCGTTCAAGCCAAGGGACAAAAGATCTGCCCTACCTGTTTCTTTGCGTGTCCATTCTCCCACGGCAGCCTCTGGATCGGCTGGACTCAGCTCTGCAGTCTCCTGTGGGTTGGTTCTCGGGTCATCGCACGGCTGGCCCCTCTTGTTCTGCAACTCCTGCCTCTAAAATCCAGAAGCAAGAAGATTGCTGTAAGGGAATATCCATTGCCTCGAAGATGGGTGGAAAGGAACCCTGTTGTCTGCTGATGCACTGGGCCTGGATGACTGACAGGCTAACCTGACTTACAGGTTCAGATCAGAAAGGACTGACAAGTTGTCCCCACTATACAACAACAAACAGTTCCTAGAGCAGCTCCGGTTGTGCTGTGGTGCAAAGAATCCTGGGATACACCTCCAGCAATCCTAGCACCATGCCTGCGCACCAGACGTGCCAGTGTGGATTCGGGGGAGCGGCATTTGGTGCATGTACGACCCTGCAGGGTGGACTGTTGGGGTGGGCTTGCTTGGCTTCTGTTCTCAAGCCTGTGAGCCAGGCTGTGGGTGCACCCAGTAGTGTAGACACAGTGGGTATGTCTACACTGTAATAAAACACCCACGGCTGACCCATGTCTGCCTTGCAGGCTGCAGGCTGCAGGGCTATAAAAGTGTAGTGTAGACATCCAGGCGTAGGCTGGAGCTTGGGCTCTGGGGCCCTCTCCCCAGGGATTCACAAACCAGGGGAAGATAGGTGGAGGAACGCCTATCTCACATGTTCAGCTTGATCTGGTAGGCGTGCTCAGAGGTCCAGACGAAACGGGTGATGGCGGATGACGCCTCCTTCAGTCCAGTGGACAGTGTCCTTACCTAGGATGTGGGAGAACTGTGGTTCAAGTCCCCCCCTCTCAGAGGTGATGCATGGGAGGCATGTGTCCCCCCCCAGATTTGCTGCTTGGCTTGTACCGAGCATGATCAGTAACACTGCTGAAGCTGGTTCCCCTCACTCTGCCCCCACAGTATTGGGTGGTCTCTGCTTGTTGAAGAGCAGGCATTGGAAGAGGGCTCTTCCCCAGATTGGTTGCGTTCCCCAGGCTATATGGAGTTGTTCTCACTCATTTTCTGGCCTCGTTAATGATTCAATTAAAGCAGAACAGCTTCACCAGGTGAGATTGAGAAGCACCCAGCTCAGAATATCCCAAAGCCTAACCTCTCGGACAGGTTCTAGATCCCTCCACGAATCCTTTCTCCTCATCAGGCAGAAGGGAGAGTTGAACTGGGCTCTCCCACATCCCAGCTGAGTATCCTAACCCCTAGGCTAAAGGGAAGTTACCCCCACAAACTCCCCCTCCACTTTGTGTGGAATCGAGCAGGTGCCTAACTCTATCTTGCAAGAAATGGCGTAGATGCCTGATTCCAGGAGACGGGTTCCCCTTTGTGGCCCACAAGCAGAGACAGGCGCCTCCCTGCAGCCTGGACATAGGTGCCTAACTCTGAGAGAGGGGCAGGGCTTAGGACATACCCCTCTGGTCGGCATCACCCGTGGGCTAGCTTGGGCAACTCCTGGCCTAGCAGGCTGGCTTCTGTGGTTCCCGTTCCTAGGTGCCTAGCTCATTCATTGTATAGGGAGCTGGGCACCTCACTTGGGCTTTGTGGATCATATGGCTCCAGTGATTTTCTGGGCACTTAAAAGTTAGGCGTTGCAACATCTAAGTTCCCTTGTGGATCTGGGCCTTAGAATCTCGGGGGAGATTTTCTAAGGGCTGGTCTACACTGGGCGGGGGGGGGGGGGGAATATATCTAAGATACGCAACTTCAGCTACGGGAATAGCGTAGCTGAAGTCGAAGTATCTTAGATCGATTTACCTTGGGTCCTCACGGCGTGGGATCGACGGCCGCGGCTCCCCCGTCGACTCCGCTACCGCCACTCGCTCCAGTGGAGTTCCGGAGTCAACGGGGAGCGCGTTCGGGGATCGATATATTGCGTCTCGTTAAGACGCGCTATATCGATCCCCGATAAATCGATCGCTACCCGCCGATACAGCGGGTAGTCTGGACATACCCTAAGAGACATCTAACTCCCATTAGCTGTGTCATAACTATAAAGGGAAGGGTAACAGCTCTCCTGTGTACAGTACTATAAAATCCCTCCTGGCCAGAGACTCCAAATCCTTTTACCTGTAAAGGGTTAAGAAGCTCGGGTAACCTGGCTGACACCTGACCCAAAGGACCAATAAGGGGACAAGATACTTTCAAATCTTGGGGGGGGGAGAAAGGCTTTTGTTTGTGCTCTTTGTTTAGTTGTTGTTCGCTCTTGGGACTGAGAGGGACCAGACATCAATCCAGGTTCTCCACATCTTTCTAACCAAGTCTCTCATATTTCAAACTTGTAAGTAAATAGCCAGGCAAGGCGTGTTAGTTTTCCTTTGTTTTCTCAACTTGTAAATGTACCTTTTACTAGAGTGTTTATCTTTGTTTGCTGTACTTTGAACCTAAGACTAGAGGGGGTCCTCTGAGCTCTTTAAGTTTGATTACCCTGTAAAGTTATTTTCCATACTGATTTTACAGAGATGGTTTTTACCTTTTTCTTTAATTAAAAGCCTTCTTTTTAAGAATCTGATTGATTTTTCCTTGTTTTTAGATCCAAGGGAGTTGGATCTGTATTCACCAGGAGTTGGTGAAAGGAAGGAGGGGGGAAGGGTCAATTTCTCCTTGTTTTAAGATCCAAGGGGTTTGGATCTGTATTCACCAGGAGTTGGTGAAAGGTTTCTCAAAGCTTCCCAGGGAAGGGAATTAGCTTGTGGGAATGGTGGCAGTGGACCAGATCTAAGCTGGTAGTTAAGCTTAGAAGTCTTCATGCAGGCCCCCACACTTGTACCCTAAAGTTCAAAGTGGGGATACAGCCTTGACAAGCTGTTAATGGGTGTCTCTGAAAATCTTCTCCAAAGTCTCGCTGAAAGTCAGACTCCTTAGTCCTACAGGAGCTCTTGAAAATTGTATCCCCTATTTACAAAACGACCACGTCACAGGGTCTGCTCAGGTCTCCACCCCCTCGTGCCTGTGCCCTGTGTTGGCTGGTTAAATAAACAGTCTCCACACCTTCTTCAGTGCTTCACCCTTTTGTCTTTATTTACAGTGCAACAGTGTAGTCCCCCGTCTTCCCCCAACAGCTATCCCCAGTCAGACCCTTCCGAAGGTCTCCTGGCCCATGAGGCTCCTTTCCTTTGGCGAGGAGACAGAGATGCAACCCTCCTATCCTCTCCCGGGCTAGCCTCCTGACTGAGCTTTCCCCACAGCTTTTATAGCCCCGCCTGTCCTCAGCCCAGCTGTCGCTACTTAACTCAGCTCAGGCCTGGTCTACACGGGGGGGGGGGAATCGATCTAAGATGCGCAACTTCAGCTACGAGAATAGCGTAACTGAAGTCGACGTATCTTAGATTGACTTAGAATCACTTCCTTCGCGTCCTCGCGGTGTGGGATCGACGGCCGCCGCTCCCACGTCGACTCCGCTTCCGCCTCTCGCCGTGGTGGAGTTCCGGAGTCGACGGCAGAGCGATCGGGGATCGATTTATCGCGTCTACACTAGACGCGATAAATCGATCCCCGATAGATCGATCACTACTCGCCGATCCGGCGGGTAGTGTAGACATACCCTCATTGCAGTGAGCCAGTCCTCGTTAGGACCTGCAGCTGGGCTCTCTGCTGACTGCCTGGGTCCCCACACCTGGCCTCCCTACCAGAAAACAGAGCTTAGCCAGCATTTTAGCAGGGCTTTCAAAGGGGTTTTACTCCATCCTGCCACAGACCCATTTGGGATTTTCTGTTTGGCCATGAGCAACTACTAACATATTTTGAAACCTCAGAGGGGAAGAAAAAACAACCCTTCAGAAACAAAGCTTGAATTATGCATTCAGTTTATTGGAGATACAGCAGAGAGTTTAGAGTGCTCGATAATAAGCAAAGGACAGTCAACGGTGTTCCAACTGTATATACAGAAAAAGCACAAGACCTTTCCATCCAATATACACACAGGAATAACAACGCAGACGTTTAACTGCAGATGAAGCAGACAAATGCTTATCTCTGGTGTAATTACAATGAGTTTTAGCAAAGGTCACTGAGTGGATGCAGCAAATGTAATGGCAGTGATTATGCAAACTGATCAAAACCAGCTAACCCTCACCAAAGAAAAGCAACAAAAAACTGATTCCTGGTGTCATAAGAGAAGCTAAGTGATATCTGCAGTCTGATCTTGAATGGTTAATGCACTGCTTCCCTGGCTGAAATGCTTTACCATAGGAGGAGGACAATTCTGGGTCCTAATGCTATGTGATCCCAAGTGTAGCTAATGCAAGAAAACCCAGAGTGAGAAGGGCAAAATTATCAGGCAAAGGAGCCTGGTTTAATAGCCAAGATAATGCCTATAGACAGCCACAGACTCACTGAACGAAAATGATAGTATCTAGCACTGCGTAAAGTTTCTCTAAAAGGGGCATTTAGAAGAATGTGGTTTCTGATCATACGGATTGCATTGGACACAGGTTTTTCTTTAATGTATGGTTATTGTCAATGACAGGTTTCGTGATTCATGTGGCTGTCAGAAGGCAGAAAATATTTTTCATTACAGCAAAGGAGACTTTTGCGTTTGGACTTTTATCGGATGATCCTTCGGCTTGAAGAGCTGACTGATACCATGCGCGTACCCGAGCTGTATGCGCCTCCACTTCCACTGCTGCCTACACCGCCGCTGCTATAAACTCCACCACCAGAGCTTCCTACACCGCCGCTGCTATAAACTCCACCACCAGAGCTTCCTACACCGCCACTGCTATAAACTCCACCCCCAGAGCTTCCTACACCTCCAGAGCTATAATGTTCCACTGAGGAATGAATTCCACTTGCACCTCCAGAGCTCCCTACTGCATCTCCAGAGGAGGCTACGTCTCCGGAGCTGCAAACCCCACCCACAGAACTGACTCCGCCCGAGGAATGGTATCCCACATCACCTCCGGCGCCTGCACTCCCGGAGCTGCCCACTCCACCCACGTGACCGCCAACACCCCCGGAACTTGCAAAGTCAGAGCTGAGCACACGTCTGTAGCTGTATCCCCCACTTCCAGAGCTGAATCCTCCCAAGCTATACCCAATTCCACCACTACCTAGTCCTCCAGAACTATATCCCCTTCCGGAAGAGCCGACGGCACACCTTGTGCCATAGCCACCTCCCATCCTGGCGATGCCTTCTGCACTTCTGGAGCTGAATCCATCACTGGAGGCAAACATCCCAATTCCATGGTTGAATCCTCCCTTTAGAGGTCCACAAACACTTCCAAAGCCGGCTCTGCAATCCCCGATGGTATGGCCACCGCTGACCACAGCTGGGAGAAAAAAAGATGTTCCGTCACTTAAACAGCAGCTTCGAAGCTCTTAAAGAAATCTGACATGACTTCTACCAAAACAAGGTGAATCCTCAGTTTACTTACCAACATTCGTGGGGTTCCCTGTACATATCCTGTTAAGGAAAGAAAAACAATACAGGTAAATGACCTCATATGCATTTAGCAACCTGTAGCCAATGAGACCTCAGGTAAATTTTCAAGCATGCCTGGATAATTAGGGATCTTAAATCCTATTTTCAAAAGTGACCTAGACTGGGATTTTCCAAGGACTTCCAGGTATTTAGGCACCAAAATCCCATTGAAATTCAGTGGGAATTGGGTCCCTCTTTTAAGCTCCTTTGAAAATTCCAGCCTTAGGAGCCTATGAGTCATTGAAAGTCAATGGGGCTTAGACTCTTAAGTGCCTACCTCACTTTTGAAAATAGGGCTTAAGCTCCTAAATCGCTTAGATGCTGTTGAAAATTTTACCCCTACTATCTTTAAAGAACTCATCTCCTTCTCTTGGACAAACTCTTCCTCCATAAATCAGACAGTGTCCTGAATCCGGATGTTGCAATATTATTCATTTTCTTTCTTACTGATTATATTAACTTTGTTCCCATCAAACGCTACTGGGGCTACTTGAAATGTTACCGTGCTACAATACATATGATGTACTTACCTGGTTTCTTCTCCTTCCAGCATTGTTCTGTATGTAGCTATCTCAATATCCAAGGCCAGCTTGATGTTGAGGAGCTCGTGGTAGTCCCGCAGCATGCAGGCCAGTTTGTCCTTGGCCTTCTGCAAGGCGTTCTGCAAATCAATATGCTTCTCTCTGGCGTCTTTGAGGGCGCAGTCGCCGCGCTGCTCAGCGTCAGCAATGGCCGTCTGCAGACAGGCAATCTGTGAAGGGGTGAGAGGGGGGGAAACCAAAGGGTCATTGTGCAGCTCTTCACCAGAGTTAAGACCATACTGCAAACCTCTTTTCTAAATGCCCATTTGAATCTTGAAATAGATCCGTTTCAGATGTGCTTCCACCCCCTGTCTTTTTTTGTCTGCAGCCTACTCTTGTGAGAGCAAGTGTTACTAGCAATGAACATCAACATTAAGCTTGCAAACTTGAGCATTCATGCAACGCCGGCTTTCAGGTCACATTCTGTGAGCATTAGCACCAGACACCTGAAGATGCTAAGCACGCTGCCTGAAACAATGGTGTCCCGATTCCCAATTAAGCCCCTCGGGGCACCTCGGAGATAACAATAATAAACAACACCAAGCATCTTCTATGACCTATCACAAGTAAATGGTAAGGAAGTGAGGAAGTAAAGCTCAGGTTTGAAATAGCTAACAGAGCAGGTGAGTATATACCAGTCATATTGCTACTGGATTTTAGAACAGGGTCCATAGGTTGGATCCTGTGCTTGTGTCAATAGGTTTAACTCCATTCAAGTCCATGGAGTTATACTGAACTCTGCCAGCTGATTCCTGGCCCCATATAGACTTGCCACCGTTGAAATTCACTCCTGTGCAGAGGGTCAACCATCAGGGATTATTCTGAATTGGCACTTAACTGGCCTGTAGATCTTGTGCCGGTCCTCTGAACCGCTGTGAATTTTACACCAAGGCAAGAGCAATCAATCCAGGAGAAAGCAAACAAATCTATCCTACCTCTTTCTTCACTTTATCAGTCTCGCCCTGCAGTTTGTGGATCAGCCGTTTCAGCTCTGCTATTTCACCCTGGACATTCTTCAGGTCATCGCAGAATCTGCCTCTGTTGGTGCTCAGCTCCTCAAGCTAGTATTCAGAACAAGGTAATTGCTATACATTAATCATCATCCATTCCAAGACAGGCGGCAGCTGTTTTGATGCTCATAGAAACCTCTGCTCATGGGAAAATACACAGCAGTGATATGAGTGTAAACAAGGCAAGGCACCATCTGGAATTCATAGATGGGCTCAAAGTTAAGTAACTTAGACTGTACACTCTTCGAGACCAGGACTGTCTTTTTGTTATGTGTTCGTATGGTGGAGTCTTGATCCATAACTGGGACTTAATAATAATAATAATTAATGATATATCAAGGTTGGGAAAGAGCATCCCAGTTATCGATCACTGCTTTGTACTAAAATGATAGATGTGGATTATTTTTCATAAATATCCCACTTCTAGCTATTAAGCAGATTGTAGAGGTGGATGGTCAATGTGAATCACGTCTTCAGAAGACATGTCACTGCAACTGAGCAGGGCGAAGATGTTTTTTCAGCATGTATCATACGTTGAGGAGAAAGAAATTGCCCCATGCTCATGATTTTGTGGAAGTGGTAGAGTGACAAAATTACGGCTTTATCTCCATACACTATAGCTTTGTGATTACTCACTCTAGTTTGGTAGAACGTCTCAGCTTCTCCTTTGCTCTTTTGCGCGATCTCCTCATAACAGCATTTAACACTGTGGATAATGCCACTGAGGTCCAGGTCTCGGCTGTTGTCCATTTCCAAAACAACGGCGGTATCGCAGAGTTGGCCATCTAGCTGAGCTCGCTCCTGCAAGTTGCATAAAGTCTCAGTCAGGCATTAACGTTGGGGCCCCTTCACGGACAGATCCCCTCATCCACACTCCCATGTGTTCTGTCAAGAAGTATGCCCCTAATTTATTTGGCCAAACTCTGAACATGTAAATAAAGCTGCAAAGAAAAGAGTTTTCCCTTAACCAGAAATAAGGCTTGAGTTACCCGGTAGCTGGTCTGTTTCCAGCTACTGCCGGGTGTGAGGCCTGGTGGATGGAACCTATTTGCCACCGTGTGACTTTCTGATGAAGGATGGAGAAATCCCAATGCAGAGATTTACAAAACAATATCGCTACTATTTATTTTGCCATTCTTTAGACTGTGAGCTTTGTAAGGCATTGGGCCTGAAACGCTGCTACTGCTCACCTCGTATCATCATTTAGTTTAAGTCAATGGAAACTGGGTGTAAAATGCTACCCTTATGATTCAAACTCACTATGCACAAGGGTACACGAAGACACAACGTCCAAGGCTGGGGCTGGTTGGATAGTTTCAGACAAAACTTTTTCTGATGGAAAATTGGGTTTCTGGCTAAACAAACTTTTTTAGCAGAAAGTACCTGTTTCCCATATATATCAGTTGGAACACTGAAAATCTGAACGTTTTCAGAAGTTTTTCTCCAAACATTTTTCAGTTTGACTGTTTTTGGCTGAAAGTTGTTTGGTTGTCACTGTTTCAATGAAAAGTCAAAATTTTCCATGCAAAAATAAACCCGATTTCCCAACCAGACGTAGGCAAGACAGTCTGTCCCTTTGTCTCCATGCTTGTCTGAAAGCACGTGGCTCTTTTAATATAATAATTCTTATTTATAAAGAAATATCTTGTCTATAGAGTGATTGATAATGTTTTCTGGGAGTGGCCACAGGGTTAGAAATTTTATAAAGAAAACTAGTTTGCCTGCATTAGGCTTCATCGTAACAACCCTGAATGCGGTTTCAGAAAAGTCATTGATTAATATTGCGGTGGGACCAATCTCCAAGTGGCTAGAATGGGCAGAATACCTACCTCAATAAAGATGCATTTCAGGAACTCGAAGTGCTGTCTCAGCTGCAACAGCTTGGCCTCCAGCTCCTCTTTGGTCATGAAGACACAGTCCACATCCTGAAAAGCAGCCCCAGGCAATCAGAAATGGTATTGATCCAAACACGGAGAAACATCGCAACAGTGGCAACACCCGCCGTCGTCTTCTGGTCAGGCTTTTGGAGCATGAGGTCTCAGAGGTGAGGCTTCCTCAGGACCCTCTGACTTCTTATAGGGGAAAAACTAAATATCTTCCAAATCCATGGAAAGATGATGGTATTTTTTTTTACAAACAGTGTTGGCCTGGTCACACAAAGGTCACTTTACACCAATGTGGCCATATAAATGGGCCTTATATCAAGTGTAGATATAATTCATTGCCACATTATGGCCCTTTTACACTGTCAGAGTGGCGTAAGGGGCTTTGGCGTAGATAAGAACCAGGCACTACAGGCTCTCTTCTTCCCTATGTTTGAGCTCCTCGGGGGATGCCACCAGGGGGTTGATATGGCACCTGAGTAGGTGATACCCAAGCCCCTGCATCATTTAGGGCAGCCCATTGACTGCTCAGGCATCTACCACTGTCAGAGAATCTACCTGGTTGAGTTCTGCTCTACCACCCCCACTCTTCTTTCCTCCATCATGCCAGGATGTGGGGAGGGACAAGCTGACACAGCTGCCAGCTCTGAATTTATGGCAGCAAAGAACTTCCCTCCTCAAGGGGAATCGCTGTTGGCCTTTTAAGGCCAGAGTCCAGCTCTGTCACATGGTTCATAGAAATGTAGGGCTGGAAAGGTCCCCGAAAGGTCATCTAATAGTTCATCCCTCTTCACTGAAACAGGGTAAAGTATGCCTAGACGTGATTTAATAAAACCCAATACCGATTAGTGATTGTCCAAAATGAATACTGAAAATATTATTTTTCAGCTGCTAATTCCAAAGTGGAAGCAAGCAAGAAAAATGGATAATTTTCCCTTGATGCTTAAAATCTGCTTCCTTTTTTACCAATTGTTCTCCATCAAGTGGAGGTGTGAGGAGAACATTAGGGCAAGGTTTGCCCATTCATTTCCTCAAGTATAATGATTTCAAAAACCTTTCGATTCAGTATGTTATTAAACCCTGTTGCAGATCAGTGACTCGGCTCATTTAAACTGGCATAATTCCATTGAAATACAACCACTTCCACTGGTTGAGGATTTGGTCTAGGACCGAGTTTAAAGTGAAATGCTCCAAACAGCTAATTTTGTCTTGTTTCACGCTTTCGTAGCCTGACTTACCTTCTTGAGCACCACAAACTCATTCTCTGCGTGCGTGCGTTTGTTGATTTCCCCTTCATATCTATGAGAAGAAAGGAGAGACAATGTTTGACTCTGTCATCTAAGCCATTAGCAAAGACAGGAAGTGCGATACAAACAAAGCCGTTCCCAATTAATTTTGTACCCTGTTCATTTTTTTATATTATTGTTTCTGACAAAAATACTGATCCTGCCTCAATGTATTCCTACAGTTTCCCAACAGTCTATACTGGGGGGGGGGCGGGGAGGGGATATCGATCTAAGTTCTGCAACTTCAGCTATGCGAATAATGTAGCTGAAGTCAACGTACTTAGAGCGACTTACTGTGGTGTCTTCACTGCGGTGAGTCGACTGCTGCCGCTTCCCCGTCGACTCTGCCTGTGCCTCTCGCGGCGCTGGAGTACAGGAGTTGACGGGAGAGCGCTCGGGGATTGATTGATTGCGTCTAGACTAGATGCGATAAATCGACACCCGCTGGATCGATCGCTGCCGGCTGATCCGGTGGGTAGTGTAGACATACCCTTACTTCACTAATTTCAGTGGAGTTACCGTGATGTCAAACCAGAGTAACACAGAGGTGAATCAGGCCCAGCATTTACAAGCTGTATAAATCTGTGACGTGGCCTCCCACATTGTCGTGGGTTTGAACGTCTCTGTGTCTTCCTCTTTCCATGTAAGTTTATACAGGGAGGCCCATTTAAGCTTTAGTTTGAGCGCTTATGCTGGATTTCCAAAGGCCTCATCCCCTTAATCCTTTTTGAAAATCCCAGCCTGAAACAAGACATAAATCACATGCAGGGTTTGCGCTGGCCCTCTGCACAGGTGTGATTTGCACCCATAGCAACCGAGAAGCAAAGACTAAAAGAACCATCACAAAACAAGTTAAAGAGCCTGGTGTTCCTTATTGGTGGAACTGTGAGCAGCTAGAGCCGAGACACCTAGATGGTAAGATCTTGGGGCAACAATCATCTTTTTAAGAACATAAAAATATAAGAACGGCTATACTGGGTCAGACCAAAGGTCCATCTAGCCCAGTATCCTGTCTTCCGACAGTGGCCAATGCCAGGTGCTTCAGAGGGAATGAACAGAACAGGGAATCATCAAAGGGTTCCATCCTGTCGCCCATTCCCAGCTTCTGTGTTTGAACAGAATAGGGTATCGGTCTGTGACTGGGGCTTCTAGGCAGCTCCAGCACAATAACAACAATACTTGCCACCCAAATACCTGCTGGGAGGTAGGATGAATGAGGTGACAATAAGGAGGAAGGCATAGGGAGGAAACGACACAGGCTGTAGTTTTTGTGCGGTTGACAGCAGCCGTGAAAGTTCAAGTCAAGAATGGCTTTAAGAATCTGAAGAGGAGGTAGACATAGATGAGCCTGTAGCTCTGATATTGGAGAATAGCTGACAGGAAAGGAGGGCTTGGGATTTAGATTTTCTTGACCGAAACATGGGTGAGTAGCTCTCCCTGTTCCTTTCCAGCACGCACTATGGTTCTTTAGCCCTAGTATAGAGCTTTTATCCACTTCACCGTCTCACTTACTTGCTTTTGTACTCATGGACCAAGTCCTGGACGGCCTTTTCTTCATCTTCCAGTCTCGCCCTGTCATGTAACAAACATTCCAGCTGTTTCTTCAGTTGGCAGATGTAATTCTCGAAAACAGGGAGAAGGTCTTTCCTTGCTGGGACGGCATGCTGCTGCAAGAGATCCCATTTCGTTGCCAGCACCTTGTTCTGCTGCTCAAGGCAGCGGACCTGAAAGCCAAAGATGCAATATTGTTTTAACTCTTCTAAAGCCTCCGAAAGACATTAAACCTTGTTAACTGAGGGCAGGTCTACAATTAAAACACTGTATCGGCACAGCTGCGCCACTGTAGCGCTCAAGTGAAGACGCTGTTACGCTGACAGAAGAGCTTCTCCTCTCGGTGTAGATAATCCACTTCCACAAGAGGTGGTAGCTGTGTCAACGGGAGAAGCTCTCCTGCCAACATAAAAAGGGGATTTTTCACACCCCTGAGCAACGTACCTATACCAGTATAGGCCTGTAGTGTAGACCTGCCTGAGAGAGGAAGTGATTTTTATTCACACTGCTTAGAAACTTATTGGTAATGCTTCTTTAAATAAAGCCCTGCAGAGAAAAGTGGTCCTGGTAAAGCAAGCAACAACTCGGCCTTTTCATAGATTCATGGATTTGAAAGCCAAAGTGGACCATTTGAACATCCAGTCTGACCTCCTGTAAAACACAGGCCAAAGCATTTCAACCACTTATCCCTATATTGAGCTCAATACTTGTGTCTGATTACGGTATATCTTCCAGAAAGGCATCCAGTCTTGATTTAAAGATATCGAGAGTTGGAGAATCCACCACTTCCTGTGATAGTTTGCTCCAATGGCTAATCGTCCTCACAGTTAAAAATTGGTGCCTGATTTCTAATTTGAATTTGTCTGGTGGCGGCTTCCAGCCATTGGTTCTAGTTCTGCCTTTCTCTGCTAGATTGTTTTCTCCCTGTGAAGATTCTCATAAACCGTGGTTCAGTCACCTCTTGATTTTCAATGATAGGAATAAAGAAGCTCCTTTTACACGTTACTGAGTCATTCAAGAAGTGCGCCCAAAAACACCCCAGGGGAGAGAAGATTTGAGGGAGAGATAGCTCAGTGGTTTGAGCATTGGCCTGCTAAACCCCAGGTTGTGAGTTCAATCCTTAAGGGGGCCATTTAGGGAACTGGGGTGTAAAAAAACAAACAAACAAAAAAAAACAACTGGGGATTGGTCCTGCTTTGAGCAGGGGGTTGGACTAGATGATCTCCTGAGGTCCCTTCCAACCCTGATAGTCTATGACATTGCTGATGTTTGTCGTGGAAAAGAAAAGAAGCTGAAAAACACAACAACCTTGGCCTTCTTCACCATATGTCACAAAAAGGCAGAAATCCTTTTTTTGTTGTTCCTTTTCAGGTTACTTTAATGCAGCTGATTTTATCCTTAACAATAATCATGAATATGAAATTTGCAATGCATCCAACCTCAAAATAACTACATTAAATCAACTTTACCGGGGTGAGATTCACAGAAGTTGAAAGAGAACTACTTTGTTTTAGTTAAATCCCTGTGTATTTCCACATATTATAGCACAAATACTACTTAAGAGCATAAAATTCCTTCCGTGTCCGTGAGGGCTATTGGTACATACTTAGTTACAAACCATTAAAACACTGTGCTTTGATAGAAAATTGTCACTGGTCCTATTCTATGTTAGGATTTTATACTGCTACCCATAACCATCATGTCTGAGTGGCATTCGATATATCAATTTTTTACTATTGATTCTTTCTCAGCAGAGAACCATTAAGAGATGCTGTGGCTTCCTGGATATTCTTCTGTCTAGGAAGGAAAGGAATGTCAACTAAATTAACTCTATCATATTAACATCAACTTTTCCTACACCTCATGGGCCATCAGAGGCCAAGCTAAATGTACCAAAGATGAACACCTCTGACCTCTGGGAAAGCTTGGATCTCCAATATGAAGCTCTGTCTTATCTCTGTTTTTTAGTATCAAGAAAAAGAAAGGCGCTTTATACTCTCACCTTGTCAATGAAGCAGGCGAACTGGTCGTTGAGACATTTTATCTGCTCCTTCTCATGTGATCGTATTTTATGTTCTTCTGGGTCAACCCCCACAGAGAGAGGCTTCAACAGTTCCGGATGGATGCACACCGCTTGGATACCGTCACTTCTACCTGCATGTCCGACGCCATAACGTACACCACTTCCAAAATGGTAGGGAGAGTAACCTCCAAAACCAGAGGAACCTCTATAGCCTCCACTGCCGTAGCCTACACAGCTACCATAACCTGCACCACTGCCAACACCGAAATGGCCGCCAAAGCCCGCACCGCTGCCATAGCCTGCTCCGCAACCGTACCCCCCACCACCATATGCACCACAGTGTCCAAGACCATAGCCTCCACCATAGGAAATTCTTTGACTTCTACCCAGGTCAAAGAGACTTGTGCTGCCAAAGCCACCGCTTTCACTTCTTCCAGCAGGCCAGGACACGGAGCCTGAGCTGGTTCTACCTCCGCTGAGGCCACAAGCGGCAGAAGCCGAAGAGAAGCACCTTCTTCCACCAAGAGAACCAGACGAGAAACACATTCGATTCATGGTGGCTTGCTTGGAGTGAGAATGGAGCAGTATCAGCAAAGCAGTCAAGTGCAAGAGAAGAGCAGACAGTGAAGGAAAGAGTTTTCCTTTGAATTGAGTTAAGGAACTTCACCTTATATATGTTTCAGGAGCTGCATGGGATGCATAAAATTAATTCATAGATTGTGGGTTTGGTTTGCCTGGCAGCAAGAAATGGCTTATAAAGAAGCTAAACAGAGCAAACATTCTATTACACATGAAATAAATGTGAAATTAAAATATATGCTTTGCTTGCAAGCGTCACTTGCGGGACTTATATTTTAATTAATTGCTCTGCTTCCTTAAAGTCTAATTATAGTTTAGCCAAACAAGTCAAGGGACTCCTTGTGGCTTATTTACAGCTGAGTTTCACCACAGTTTTATTTTTTTAATGATATAAGAGAACAGGCTGCAGAATCTTCTTCTTGTTATTATTTATTCTTATAGTTCCTAGGAGTCCCATTCATGGACCAAGATCCCCTTGGGCGAGATGCTCTACAAATGCAGTGCCTACCATGACAGACGCATCTGAAGAAGTGAGGTTTTTTTACCCATGAAAGCTTATGTCCAAATAAATCGGTTAGTCTTTAAGGTGCCACCAGACTCCTTGTTGTTTTTGTGGATACAGACTAACACGGCTACCCCTGATACTTGATACCATGACAGAGTTCTGGTCTATGTTACTGGTCCATTTTTGAGGATCTCTCAAACAGCTGGATTCTGCCGGTAGGCACAGTACATTAGAATACAAGAACGGCCAGACTGAGTTAGCCCAAAGGTCCATCTAGCCCAGTATCCTGTCTTCCAACAGTGGCCAAGGCCAGATGCCCCAGAAGGAATGAACAGAACAGGGAATCATCAAGTGATCCATCCCCCGTTGCCCATTCCCAGCTTCTGGCAAAAAGTACAATGATCAACTCATGGGAGAAGGAGCACATCCATGTCAAAGCAGAGTAGTGTGGGGTATTGAATGGATTGTTATAAGCACACATGCTCTTACGCCTCTATGGCTGCAACACAGGACGCGTGAAAAAATCTTGGGCATACCCAGCAAAGCATGTATAGTCATACTACATGCCTGGGTAGCAGTTGTCAGGGAGAAATTGTGCCTTTTCAGTCTCAATATCTGTCTGTAATTTGGCTGGCACACTCCTAGAATTCAAGCGAGAATTCTGGAGAAGCTCAATAAACGAAATGGAATGAAAAGTTTTAAATCGGTTGAAAAATTGCCTCTGAAACTAATTTTTTTCCCTTGCTCTGCATGCCACACCCCTTTGACATTAAATTATGGTAATTTCTTTAATGAGAGGGTTTGTGTCATTCAATTAAAATCCTTAAAGGGACTTTGAATTTTCTGAACATTTCAATGGGTGTGTGTATAGGCAACGAAGACGTGTTATTAAGGAAAAACCATGCTCAGAAGGTTTGTACATCCTATCTAGATAATGTAATTATTTTTCCAGTCCTGTAGATCTTGCTATACACACTTAATCAGCTGGATGAAATTAACTTCAAAAGTATTGAATGTAATTATAATCAAGGGAATTCCTAAGTAGCCGAAGCTCATGTCAGTAACTTGAAAGGGAAAAATTCAGAAACACCTTTGTTTTTCCAAGTAGAGTTTTGGCACAATCGTTGCATAGGACTTTTGGGTGTTGACTGTGAAAACAGATTGAGTGCAGTCAGTAGAAATGTTACCACCCTGGCTTTGAATCGCAACATCATCTGCCCTTTATCTCTAACAAGCTCTGTATCATGCCATCAAACTAGACCTAAAGTGATAAAAAGGTTCCCAATTCCCTACCTTCCATGAGCTGGGGTCTCTGCTCCCATAACTCATAGGGATAACTCAGTGGTTTGAGCATTGGCCTCCTAAACCCAGGGTTGTGAGCTCAGCCCTTGAGGGGGCCACTTAGGGATCTGGGGCAAAAATCAGTACTTGGTCCTGCTAGTGAAAGCAGGGGGCTGGACTTGATGACCTTTCAGGGTCCCTTCCAATTCTATGAGATAGGTATATCTCCATATATTTTCTAGGCTTGGCAGAATCCATTTTTATTTTTTTTAATAATTTCAACAGATAATATCGATCTTTATTTCTAAGCTTTTTTAGATATTTATCAATTTAAATTTTCACGGTTGCATGAACTTAGGTATTTTAAGCATTTTTTCTAGTTTTATCAATGTACATGTTCAGAGTTGTGGGACATGAAGATGAGGGTCAGACAATAGTGGGGTTGGACAATTATTTAATGACCGTATTCACTGAGATTCAAAACGTTAAAGCTTTATAACCATTAAAACACAAACTGTCCACCTCGTATGTCAAACTATACCAAGTAAACATCCTTACATCAAACTCCAATAAGTTCTCAAATAGCATTTTGCTTACTTCACCTATACCTATATTGTCATATTATTGATGGAAATATTGTTGTCAGTCTGTGTGTGCATGCAGGGAAATCAATGTTTATTGACATTTACCAATAAACATTGAATCATTCCAAGCCTACTTATATCTTTCTACATGTGCAGCATTTTTTACTCTGAGCTGCAAGTTCCCAGTGTATGGTTCAACATTTGATTCCTTCCTCATATGCTCACAAGTGACTCTGATTTTAGATTGCTCTGCTGGTACATTAGAGGAAACATCTGAAGGTGGCACTTCAGGTTTTTAACTGCTGTCTCATAAAAGTCATGTGATCCAAGCCCTGAGCACTGTGTGAAATATTTACTCCTTTGAAGTTTATGCAAGGTCATTTTTTGAAGGACGCGTTTTAATAGTGTTTTATATCTATTTATTTATCCTCATACGCTGAGAACTAGTAAAATTCTGAAGCCACATTTTTCTTTAATGTACTTTCTGGTTTTGCCTCCATGTGTTCTGTATCCTTGCTGACTAGCATCTTTGAAGAACTACAGTACATGTATGATTTTTTTCCTCTTCATTGGTGAGATGTGAATACCAGGCTGTAAGACTGGTCTTGATTCAGCAGAGCTTTTAAGCATTTACTTAACTCCATCCTTATTCAGCAAAACATGTAAGCACATGCTAAACTTAAAGCATGCGCTTGAGTTCCATAGGAGTTAAGCATGAGCTGCTGAATAGGGATGGACTCAAGAACTTGCTTAAAGTTAGGAAAATGTTTTAAGTGCTTTGCTGAATTGGAGCCTAAACACTATTCCCACTGAGGGCTAGTTTACACTATAAGCGCTACATCGGCTGTAGCATGTCTGGTGAAAATGCTCCATGCCGACGAGGGAGCACTCTCCCGTCAGCACAATAACTATCCCTCCATGAGTATTTCAGGCCATGTCCACACAGGCACTTAAGTCGGTGTAACTTACATCGCTCAGGGGGGTGGATTATTCACACCCCTGAGTGATATAAGTTATACCAAAGTAAGTGGTAGTTTAGACAAGGCCTGAGACACTCAAGTGTTCCTATGGGAATTTAGCTTCAAATATTGAATCCAGATATTAAGATCCTTTTCAGTTGTGACTGTCTCCCCCAAAATATTACATCAAGGATACCCAGCCATTTCTTCATTAACATTATTGCTAGGTAACAGTCCCTGCTTTGAGGCTTGGCAGATTCAGTGGCTCCTTTGGAAAGGGAACAGAAAGTTTCCATTAAGTTGTCTCACAAAGCCTCTGTGAAATCCAACCGTTGGTTCTCCCCATACCTACTTTGATGACAGGTCATTTGAAGGCATGGCTTCAAAGACTGCTTTGCACTAAGCATCTCTGACTCAAATCCATCTCGTCTCCCCGTCACAGCCCCGTCAACTTGTCAATCTTCTCATTACAGAGATCTATCAAACGAACCCCTCTCAAAACAAAACCACGCAATTATCCCCGGGGATAGGAGAGGGGAGAAGATCAGAGAGAGAACGAACTACATGTGACAGATGTTAGTCATGTTGACTAATGCACTACTGGAAGGTGATATAAGAATTTACAAGCTATCTCCTCTATGACTCTTAGGTCTTTTCAGGACACACTGACTATGGTAGATGCAGGAAGAGCTGACAACAAATTTTAGACAAATTGGTTATTCAATGAAAAATGCAGTTTCGGTTGACCTGAAACTCTTCACAAATTTGACACGAATAGTTTCATCTAGTCTAAAACAGAGGGGGAGGAGGAGACGGTGGTGGTGTTGCAACTGCTACTATTCCCCCCCTTCCTTATTACCCCAGTAGTTAATACCCTTTAATGGCAGGTGAGAAACCCAGGTTCGAATCCTCACTCTGAAACAGACCTTCTCAATTCACCAAACATTTCAGATTCATTTCAAACGGAACATTTCATTTCTTCAGAGCTGCCACCAAACGGCCAGATCAGTCATTCATCCAACTCTCTATGGAGGTGCCAATCTCTCTGTTACAAGACAACGTCTATTTGGAATTGGGATACTTAATAATCTCCAGATAGTCAACAATACGGTGCCATTTTCTCAAAAGCACTACAGAGAAGCACCCATCTTTAGTCCTCATTTACCTTTAAATTTTGCCAAAGGTAAATTCAGTTCATAGTAGTGAGCAAGGGCATAGAATCATAGAATCATAGAAGATCAGGGTTGGAAGGGACCTCAGGAGGTCATCTAGTCCAACCCCCTGCTCAAAGCAGGACCTAATCCCAACTAAATCATCCCAGCCAGGACCCGACCTTAAAGACCTCTAAGGAAGGAGATTCCACCACCTCTCTAGGTAACCCATTCCAGTGCTTCACCACCCTCCTAGTGAAAAAGTTTTTCCTAATATCCAACCTAAACCTCCCCCACTGCAACTTGAGACCATTACTCCTTGTTCTGTCATCTGCTACCACTGAGAACAGTCTAGATCCATCCTCTTTGGAACTCCCTTTCAGGTAGTTGAAAGCAGCTATCAAATCTCCCCTCATTCTTCTCTTCTGAAGACTAAACAATCCCAGTTCTCTCAGCCTCTCCTCATAAGTCATGTGCTCCAGCCCCCTAATCATTTTTGTTGCCCTCCGCTGGACTCTTTCCAATTTTTCA